AATCATGACTTTTTTTCATTAATCAGGGGTCCAAACAACTAGAATAAAACATCTTCATTGTCTGCACATGTGCATTCTGCACTTAATTCTGCTTTTTTACAAGAAAATTTTCAGACCCTTTAACAACTTTTTTTTTTTTTTTTTTTAAAGGACCTAGCAACAAATCCTTTTCTACACATACTTTTGCTTCTTTCTGTAGAAGACAGTCGCCTGTAGCCGCAACATGTTCTGTTGTCTGTCAACAGAAACAGAAAAACATGTAAATGAGAACAGCTTTACAGGGAATTCGGCCGTATTAAAATGTGAGCACAGAGAGTAGGGGAGAGGCAAGCAGCTGGAACAACTGCAAATCGCCTACAACTTCATAATAATCATGTGATCATTTGAGAGCTGCTCCATTTCATTGTAAGTAGGAAAAAATTGCTTGACAAATGTGTCCCGCTCCTTACTTTCAGCAAAGAGCTTTTTTACTCCTAAGCTGGCTGGTTTGAGCGTTCTTAATAGAGGTTTGATAAATACAATTCCTGAATTTCTGCACAAAATGTCATTAAATCTATATACTTTTCTTGAAAATATCTTACACTCGTCATCCCGACAGATCGAGGTCTTCAGGTCTCTGCAGAGAGCATCAATCATTTCTGGGAACAGAGAAAAATGTATCATGAAATAGGAATGCACCACCAGTGATATACTAAGAATCTGTGATGTCCAGTTAAAGGAAATGGACCAGATAGTGACTCATATGGCTTTGATTTTTAAGACTGGGTTTAGTTTTCTTGAAACTATTTTGTTCATAATAGGCAGGAAAGGCAAACAAGCTGTGCAGAGTTATATATGGTCGCGTACCGTACACTCATCTTGAAACATAAATAACCCATATTGTGTCTCTCATTTGCTCCAGTGAATATTCGTAATTTACAGAGGTTATAAATCTGCAGGTGCTGTGTAGCGTACCGTAAACAAACCTGTATTGTTTTGTGTTCTGTCAAACAGCCTGACTGGTTGGAGCACACTTCCTTCCTCTCAGGATATGGCGCCTGATTACCTTATTTTTCTTCTCCCATATTTTATTTTGATTACAGGTGTGGCCATCTAATTGTATATTGCTGCATCCACCAGCAAGATATTCTGAAAATATCAACAGCTCATACTCAACACCAAGTGGTCGTGCAGGAAAGATTTGATTTATAAAGTGTCTATAATTGATATTTTTGGAATAATAATGCATCAAATGACAGAATGAAAAGAATGTGGAAGGTGTGATGAACCCACAGAGAATCATCACCTGAATCTGCAGCTCTCCTCAATTTTACAGATGAGACAGATGAGATGAGCCTTATTCTAACAACCCATAAGTGTAGCCTTTACCTGCATGCCCACAGCATGTAAAGATTTTACACCAACTCAAATATTTGACTAATTTGTGAGAGAGCCACAGCAGACATGTCCCTGAGATTACATCACTCACTCTTCTTGATTTGCATTTTGGTTTGGCACTCTTGGGTGTCTACAATTACGCTCTGTTGCCGGTCATCATGTCTCAACAGTTAAATGTTGTGCTGCCACTCTTATCGTTGTGCCAAAACCACATCAAGTGTAAATCAGACTGCACAAACTAGTTGGTCAGTCATTTTGTGAAGTAGCTGCTGCCCTGAAGGCAAAACATGCACAACCCAAGAAACTGCCATTATTAAGCAGCAGTGAGGCTCTAAAAATAGACGTGTGAATAAGGAAAAACATGATAAAAAAAAATACTGCATAGAGTCATAACCATGTACAGGCTTGATTCAAGTACATGTTCCATGGGAATGAGACGAAGTCTTTTTTAATATGGCCTGAAATCCGTTCGTACTTGAATACAACTTAAACTCTGGAACAGCATTAGCAAGATTCCTTGTCAGGCAATATAAAGTGTGATGAATGTATGGTAAAAAAAAAAAAAAACTGACTTAAAGTATATCTTCAAATGTAAGTCGATCTTAACACAACACTCACATGCCGGCTACATCGAAACAGCCTTTGGTCGCTGTAATAGTTGTTGTTTATACAAAAAGAAGGTTTGGGACACAGGCCACCTTGGTCATGTGATGCCAAGTTTCTTACACATGTGTGTGCATGCCCACAATCCATACATACTAAAGTAAAAAAAAAAATGCATGGGGGTAAAAAAAATAAACCCTGTGACTTTTCAGAGCTATCTATGAGGTATGTTGTCTTTTTCGATGTGAGTGGGGAAACTTCACCCCGGGGTCACAGGAAGTGATACCTCTCTGAAGGTTTCCTCTGTGCTTTCGTTGAGCAGATGACACGTTTGCAACAAGTACCGCAGAGCACTCCACCACTTTATAATAGTGCACAAACACTAACATCCTGTACTAAAACATCTTGTTTACAGACCCTACATAACAGAATAGAGTTGTTAGTCACTCTGTTTGATTCACTGAACGCACTGTCATCTTCCATGTTGACTTGCGTCCTAACAAACATTTAGATATTTATCTGCTGCAGCTGTTGTTGGTGATCACAGTCCAATTGCCAAGTAAAACAGAATGAATGAAAAAAAACAACAACTTAAAAACCACGTCAGACCTGCACTGATGATGACAAAATGTTCATGTTTTAAAGTTGTGTTTTTTACACTTAGAATAAAAAAAAACATTTTAACAGATCTTAAATTAGTTTCTTAAATCACCGACAAAAAAAAAAAACACTATTAGGTTTTTATAGAGAGAGGTTTTGCTCTGCAGCTTTACAACGTGTTGAAATGACTCAGTGGAATATCAACAACCCGGAAACTGTGGTTACAACGTGGCATTACCACCACAAGTACATGTGGATGATGCATGGGCATGTTCTCACTTTAATGACCGTGATGAACTACACTGAAAATAAATCAATAATGGACACATGACTTTTTTTTTTTGAAGTCATATGCATCCACTGTGATGCTTTGCATTTGCAGTCATACAGTCGGTTGCTTGAAAGAACTTCATCGTCACTATCTACTACAAGGATCACACCTTTCATTATTCTGACCCTGTGACTCAATCTCATATCTTTTTTCTCAGTAAGTTAACAGTTACATGAGAAATGTATTGCTATGATGAGCGATGATGCAAAGTAGAAATTAGTAGAAGTCCTGCATTTAAAATCTTACTTCAGTAAATATACTATTAACAAAGTATCTAAAGCAAAAGTATGCAGACTGCCTCTTTTAAAGTTGTAGTTGGTTCTCTATTTTATGCATCTTTACATTTCTTCTCCACTTTATTTCAGCAACAAATACTGTACTTTTTACTGCACAATTATTTGATAGTACTTTGCAGATCAGTATTTTACATACAAACTTTATGAGCTCATAAAATATGGTGCACTGTTATAGATTACACTACCCTAACCCGATATGAAGCGCCCAAAATGAGCTATGGCTGTGGAGTCCCGAAACTGACACAACGCAGTAAGAGGTTACCAGTCATTGCTTTAATTTATCAACTGGTTGGAGGTTTAAGAAAAAGTACAAAAGCTTTATTTTTTCAATTTTATGCTACTTTATACTTCTACTCCACTGTATTACTATATTACAGAGGAAAATATTGTACTTATTACAGCCCCATATTTATCTGACAGGAACAGTTGTTACTTTGCAGATGGAGATTTTAAAAATCTATGCTGAATATATCATATAGTAAATAAAACCACCCAACATTTTATAAAAAAAAGGAGTAAAATGACTTACTTACATGTTAATGTATCCGCAAAAATAGTGCACCAGTATAACATATGATTATGTCACACCATTTTGACTGCATAGTGACCACTTTTACTTTTACATTTTGCTGATATACAGTACTTCTGTGACTTTACTAAAGTAAGGTTTTTAAATGCAAGACTTTGCAGAAATTTGTGGTATGGCTTTTTTTTTACTCATGTAAACCATCTGAATACTTCTTCCACAATTTCCGTAATATGTGGAAAATAGATCAAGTGGAGTTGAAGTAAATAGGAAAACTCAATTTTTACATTCCAGCACTATGAAACATCTCACATGTTATACGATTGCATGAGATTTGACAAATCCTCATAATAATAAATACTCGTGTTTTCTTATTTCAGAGCAGAAGAATCACTGGGCAACTCATCACACAAGCATCTCATTTGTGTCGCTGATTTGTCGGATGCATCGATGTGTAAGCTGCGTTTTACTCTAGTTACTGCTTGAGGTGGAGCTACTGTCCTCCTGTTGAGCAGTTCAGTCCTACACAGTGCAAAAGACACGGTCTCATAAAGTCAACCCTGGCTACAACTGGTTCCAAAAAACATTCTTAAAACAAGTGGAAAAATCTGACAGTGTGTGTGTTGCTGCAAAGGTGTTGAATTGAATTGAAAACTAGAAAATTCTTATTAGACATGTTTTGAGAAAAAAAGGGTTCAAATGACTTGATAATAAAAAGAATTTTGCAGGGAACAAATGCATCATAATTTAAAAAGTGGTCATATGAAATATCTCAATTAGGGAAGTAATAGTAATTGGCTGTTAAATACATCGAGCTTAATAAAAAAAGTAGGCTATATTTTCCTCTGAGATGTAGTGGAGTAGAAATATAAAGTTACAAAAAATGTATGTGTAAATAAATGCTCAAGTAGAGCACCTCAAAATTGTGCTTAAGTACTGGAGTACATATACTTAATTACTTTCCATCCATAGGTTTTGCATGGTGCACATGCAGACTTCTTGATAAATGCACTGCTCTTGCTCAAACCGGTCGACTGTTGTGACTGTGCTGATGATAATAAAGTCATGTCGCGGAGCTTCAGAGCAGGTATGGGAAATTCAGCGATAAAGAACTGAAACTGGGACTGTAAACCCCCCCACCCCTTCCGAACAAGAATGCTGTGTCTCTCTGACGGCTGTTCTGCGCGAACAACTCACTGGCTGAGCGAAATGCAGAGGAGGAGCTGACGTTAGTGGCCCCAGAAGAAACTTCCCTGTCAGTAGAGAGTGTGATAACGTGAGATGCAGCTTGCAGTCTCTTAACATCAAACCCACAGCGGGACAGATCTCCTGTGGATTCCTCCTGTTTTCATGAACTTGGGCGCAATGTGGAATTTTACTTCTGTGCGTAAAAGAGACATTCGGAGACAATGGATTTGCTTACTATTAGAGAACTTGGGGAATACGCGTTAATGGAAAGTGTCACTACTTCGGAAGTGAGAGGAGAGTCAGTGCTTAGTGTCAAACAGTGAAAGGCGTCCCGGCAGGCATGAACACCACGGCGGCAACGGGGAGATTTCAACCGCTCACCATCCCAGCGATAATGTTCATTTTCGGGGTGGTGGGAAATGTCATCGCCATCGTGGTCCTGCGAATATCACGCAAGGAACAAAAGGAGACGACTTTTTACACACTTGTGTGTGGCCTCGCTGTGACAGACCTCCTGGGCACCCTGCTGGCCAGCCCCGTCACCATCGCCACCTACATGAAGGGCTCCTGGCCGGGAGGCGAGCCACTGTGCCAGTACTCCGGCTTCATCCTGCTCTTCTTCTTCTTGGTCCAGCTCAGCATTGTGTTTGCAATGTCAGTGGAGAGATACTTGGCAATAAACCATGCATATTTCTATAACGAGTACGTCAACCAGAGACTCGCTGCGCTCACTCTTTTGGCCATTTACATTTCCAACATCGTGTTTTGCGCGCTGCCCAGCCTGGGGCTCGGCCAGGTGAAGCTGCAGAACCCGGGGACGTGGTGTTTCATAGACTGGCAGGACAACCACACATCAGTCGCCGCTTTTAACTTGATGTACGCAGGTGTGAACTCAGTCATCGTGCTGGCCACTGTGATATGCAACGTGATGGTGTGTGGGGCACTAATCCTGATGCACAAGAGGTTCATCCGCCGCACGTCTTTGGGCACAGACCAGCGGCGCATCGCGGAGCTCCGGCGCAGACGGAATTTCGGGCGATTAGCTGGAGCAGAGATCCAGATGGTGATCCTGCTTATAGCCACCTCCGCTGTGGTTCTCATCTGCTCCATACCTTTAGTGGTAAGTGCTGGAAAAACTGAGCAAGTTGCATTTTACACCCTCGGTGTGCGCAAAAGATTGTTTGGGCGTTGGGAAGTCACTAATTTCAATAAAAAAAAAGTCACTGTGAGAAATAAAATGCATTAGAATAAACAAAACTCATGCAAAAACTATGAAACGGAACCCACTCAAAATTCATATAAAAAGATTGTGCGTCTTTATAACAGAAAAACACCAAAATAACATTAATCTGATGAATTAAATAATAAACAAAGTGGCTGGAGGTGGTTAATAATAGGCCTACGGATGTGCAACCTGAACTTTGTGTTCCTTTGTGGTCTGTAACACATTTCTGAGGTGTGAACATCAGGGTTCATGCTCCCTGTAGTTTCAGATGCTCACACAGACAGTGCGGATACATGGTTTTGATTATATCATAATAGGAAATGATGTGGCCAAAAGTAGTTCAGAGTAAACTCTCGTATGTTTGCAAACATCTCCGAGACACTTTGCGCTTTCATCACTAGACTTCAGTTCAGCCTGAACAGGCGCGAAGGCTCAGTGGATCCTGTGAGATCTGGCAGTGCAGGATTTCCAGTATCTGGGACAAAGTCAGTGATAGATAAGATAGATTCACACTGGTTCTGTCTTAAAACTACAGTCAGGTGTCTGTATGTCAGTTTGCAGCTATTTTTGCTGGCTGTGCTCATTCCTCCTGATCAAAGCTCCCTGCCCAACATGGCTCCAGTGGAAGAGATGAGGCACAAAATGCACAGTCCCAGTTCTGTGCATAAATACAGTGTGACAAAACAAATGAGTAACATCCAACCTTCCTGTTTTTTAGTGCAAAATACCCTCTTTGTGTTACTGTCCCTCCACTGAAGATCAGCACGAAGAAGGAATTCTGCACTAAAGAGATTAACTTTGGAAGATAAGCACTTAATGTTGTTGAAGTCTGACTGTTAAAGCTTCATATTCACTTCAGATAAACTTTGGAATCATTTTTGCACAAAAAAAACAAAGTCTTTTCATACAGGAGACAGGCATCTCTTAATGGCCAGTATGAAGAGGAGGAATGATTACAGCCAGCAAAATGTCAACTTATACTTAATGTTAGTTAAACATCAAGGCTTTTGTGCCTCTTGCTGTCAAATGATGATTATGAGTTTCTGGGGAAATCCAATGGCCAATATGATGAATGACAGTGAGAACTCTTGTTTTTTTTGGCCTCTTGCCATCTGCCATGGTTGCACAGAAGTTACATCAGGCCAAATGTCTATTTAGATTTGGCCTTTTCATGCCAACTTCGTAGGAATATGTAGAACAAATAAATATTTTTCTCTCTGAAAATGAAGTGCAGGCAGGTTTGGGCTTGCTCAAATTGTTTCTGCCTTTGAAATGTTATTCCATGTTCCTTTAAGTGACAACCAGACATTTGTGGAGGCTCATTAAGTTCCTAAATGTATCCATTGTTTCTCTCCTGTGCTGTCAGTTGAGGATCTTTGTGAACCAGCTGTACAGAAACCAGACAGAAGAGCCTTTCGGACTGAATAAAGACCTGCTGGCCATCCGCATGGCCTCCGTCAACCCCATCTTAGACCCTTGGATCTACATCCTGCTCAGAAAGACAGTGGTCCTCAAGCTAATGGAGAAAATCAAGTGTCTGTTCTGCAAGATGGGCGGGCGGGGGCGAAGGGACGGTGGCCAGTTCCGCTGTGCCGACGGCCACCTCTCCTCTTCCATCGTCTCCCGGGATTCTCCGTCACTGGTGTCACGAGAGCTGCGGGAAATGGTGAGCACCTCGCAGACCTTCCTGTACCCGTCTGAGGAAAGCACAGGGAGGCTGGGGTCATTTAAAGCAGGGGCACAGGCCGGCTCCAGTCCAACAACTACACAGACATTACAGGGCCCCCAGGAGGTTGAGGGGCCTCACAGGGGACTTTCACAGAGTGATTTAGAGGACACACTGCTGGGCGGGCCACTGGCAGAGCTTCCAATGTGCCCCAAGGACCCGGCTCTACATGTGACCTTCACAGACGAGACTGCAAACATACAGGAGAAATGCATATAACTGTCAGCGTGAGCCTAACAAGCATTCAATGCTGTAAGAGGACTGGCTCAGGACAGAAGACATGAACTAATGAGAGCACTGCAGAGACGTGACAATAAAGGAAAAGCTTCTCAAGACTTAATAATCCAGATCAATCAATCTGTAGATATCATAAAATAACATTTGACAGATGTATTACTGATTTTAACACCCATTATCAATGTATTACTCCTCAGTGATAGCGCACCACAAACACCAGGTCACTAAATACACTTCAGCACAGTCACAACAGCTGTATCAACGAAACCACAGAGAACAATGTGACATTGTAGAGGAGCTCTTTTGTTGCACTTTCTGAATCCTGAAACCACTGCGAGGCTGTTAATGCTGTTTGTTTTGTAGCATTTTGACAACCTGCACAATGACTGTAAAGAATCGACGTTAAAATGTGAACAGTGTTCCATGATGTTAATTTATTCTAAGTATGAAATTATACGTTATTGTCTTCTCTGTGAGAAGGTCCAGATAGTTTCATTTTAAATTGGTACAAGATGAATATGGTCATAGTTTTTTTTTTGGGTACATAGAAACATTTGCAAACAATTTAGTCTTACTGGTTGACAGAGCAGCTCGAACACCAAAGCTACAATTGTACCATCCCCTGTACTCGTAACAAAAGGCAGCTATAACTGGGGCTTTTTCATAGCTCAGACACTGGAGGACCTTAGGAAGCCTCCTTTAAGTAATGTGTTCATATAAAATTCTTAATTTACTTAGTTCAGCCCATTTACTTTATGGGGATTAATCCAACTTCATCTTATTTTACCTTGATGTAAAGTGCAATGGCTATCATCTAATCAGCCTTTATTGGGGAGTTAAGACAGGGAATGGAAATTGAATCGATCTTCTTTTTGGGTTTTGCCTTTTCTTGAAATGGATTTCCTGGTTGACCCCAACACTAATGCTATTGTTTCTATCAAGAGTGATTATAAATATTGAATCATGTTCAGATTTCAATATTGAGTTTTTTTGTGTTTTTTTTTTGTAGCAACATCAACATCAAATTTATCACAAAATGTTGACTCTCTTGTGAACAAACTAATGTTGTACCAAAAACATCAATTAACGAAAATAAAAGTTGCCAAATATTCACATAAATTAAGAATTTTCGTCACTATTTTTTTTTTTTTTAAGAAAAAGTTAATCACAAGGTTTAGTATAAAAGTGATGAGTGTATTGCAAACTCTGTGTTGGAGTATGGTATTGAGCTAAATATGGTGGTGAAAAGTACAATGTGCTGTAAAGTAGAAGTGAATTATCAGGCATATATTTAGAGCTGAAACAATTAGTTTTATTAATCACTCAGAGGACAGAAAATGAATCTGCAACTATTTTGATAGTTGAGTAAATATTTAAGTCGTTTTTGAGGCAAAAATGACTTAAATTCACCAGTTTCAGCCTCTTAAATGTGAGGACGTGTTGCTTTTTATCACTGTAAACTGAATATCTTTTGGTCTCGGACTGTTGGTTGGACAAAACAAGGAATTTGAGGACAATGGTAATGCACGTTTGTCACTAAATCCTGACACTGATAGACAAAACAGTTAACCAATTAATCCAACAAAATAATCCTTAGTTGAAGCCCTACATACAGTGCATTCATAAAGTATTCAGACCCTTTCACTTTTTTTGTATTTTGTTATTTTGCAGCCTTATGCTAAAATAATTTCAATTCATTTTCCCCTCATCAACCATGAGAACCTGTTCCAGAGCGCACAGCACCTCAGACTGGAAGGTTCCACCTTCCAACAGGTCAATGACCCTAAGTACAAAGCCAAGACAATGCAGGAGTGGCTCAGGGACAACTCTGTGAATGTCCTGGCGTGCAATGCATGCCCTGACTTGAACCCAATGGAACATCTCTGGAAAGACCTGAAAATGGCTGCCCACTGACGGTCCCCATCCAGCCCGACAGAGCTTGACAGGATCAGCAGAGAAGAATGACAGAAAATCCCCATATCCAGGTGCAGTGACTTTTTGTCGCATCGTACCAAGAAGACTTCTTCACAAAGGTGTTTCAGCTAAGCACTGAGTAAAAGGTCTGAATACTTATGTCAATGTGATATTTCAGTTTTTCCTTTTCAATAAGTTTGCAAAAAAAACCAAAAATTTTGTTTTCGCTTTCCATTATAGGGCATTGAATGTAGATTATTGAGGGAAAAAATGAATCGAAACGCTTTGACTCCAACTCAACAAAATGTGAAAAAAGTCAAGGGGTCTAAATACTTTCTGAATGCACTGTACATCTGCACAGAAATTAGACTTTGGTTAGGAAAATCAATTGGACCTGAATGAGGCATCTGCTAGCAGCTGCCTCTGAATCTGCTGAAAAAGAATTATCGATCAGTGCTCCATAGAGCGACTTTGAAGATGGAAAATGAATTCAATACTGATCTCTCGAGGTTAATGGATGGCAGTTCGATCTTTATGGATCAAACACAAAAAAACCTACTGGAGAATAATGTGCAAAGAAATGCTGCAGATGTTGTCATGAAAACACTGATTAATTGAATTTAGTGTTTAATTAATTTAAACGTGGATCCAAAGAAACAGATCTTATTGAAATTCAAGCCCGTTTTTAAATAAATGCTCTATAATCATATTTTCTTTGCCAGCATGTCACTGGCAGCGCCACGCCTGCTGAGAAAACACAGGTCAACTTTCATCCCTTTCGTCTGTTTCTACAACAGTGCTGATGGCAAAAACATTTCTAACCAATAGCCAGTTCAGATGGCATGTCACCACTCACCTGCAGAAAGATCATTTCTTCACCCCTGACGATTTCCTGGTCCAGTGTGGCCAGTGTCCAGAGCCTTCCCAGAGCAGCTAAAACCTCCCTCCGAGAAACAAAAAGCCATTAAAGAGCGCCTGACCACAGACTGAGAAATCTGTTAAAGCTGTAGAGTCTCTCCGGAGGCAGGAAATAGTGATTGACAAAACAGTTGTGATAGGATTTTAACGGAGGGCAAATAGAAAAATTATTCTTCCTGGAAACTTGTCCCCTCTTTCCCCAACTCATCTGCTAACGCCAGTAATATACTAAAGTATATGAGACAGGCTGTTTTAGACATTTAAATTCCTGTCATGAGAAGCCTGTGGAAACAATAGGGTATTAGAAGGTGCCACTCAAAAAGAACAGTGACTTTTAGCACGGCAATGGAATAAAAAAAAGAAAAAAAAGGGAAATTCAGGAAATGATCAATATTAGATTGGTTACAGTATTTGTGCTAAGGCAGCTAGACTTGAGGTGACAACAGTGAATAGAAATCTCAACAAAAGAATAACAGACAGCACAAACATTTAATAGATAAGATTTAATTACTATAACATCCTAATTTCTGGCTCACTAAACTTCTTAAAATGCTGATGTCATGCAGGTATACATGTTCACCATCTAACTTTAACATGTTAGCCCGCTAGCATTTGCTAGGTAGCACAAAACACAAATTACAGATGTTGGGATTGTCATTAGTTTTGCAGGTATTTAAAGGAGCTATTCCTAAGTTTTTGCTACTGCTATATAGCCAACACTCACATTAACAGCTGCTTAGTTACCAGTCTGGAAGAAACGTCATGAGTTCTGCATCAACCTTCATTCTTTTACTCACCAAGAGCTGTGTCCAGCAGAGGGAAGCTACACCAATCTTAACTCTGTCACATCTTTTCTTCCACTGAAGTTAGCATGCTAACCAGCTAGCCCCAGCACGTCTTGTCACGTCCGACAGCGATTCAAGGTAGCCTCCAATCTGCCCTCAGGGGGTGAATTGTAACCTCTTGTCTTGTAAACACAACCATGGCTGAAGCTCTCGTCTAGCCACAATCACCACTACCTGCCCCAGGGAAGAGAAAACTTACAAATAGCCCCTTTAAGTTATAAACCATAGAATTGGACAAATTGGCCATTTTGACCTGGTGATGGAACTAGATGGACAGATAGAGGATCTTCAAAGTGATAATACAATTTATCCTCTGGAGGACATTAATCACTTTTCACATTTTACAACAATATATTTATTATTTATTTCCATCAAAACCACATGTGGGCCTCATGGTGGCACTAGAGGAATAGTGAAGCATCACCAAAGTCAGTAGGATTCATCGTCTGGGAACCCTGAATGCCTGTACTAAATTTTGCGTCAATCCATCAAATAGATGTTATTTCATAAAATAAGTGAAAAAATGCACCAAAGTCATGCTGTCACTCTTTCTGTACCAGAGTTCATGGGAATCCATCTAGTAGTTGGCAGGATATTTCATTAAAAGCAATGCCAACCTCCTGGTGGTGCTGAAGTAAACATCAGATTACCTCTCTCCCAAATTTCATGGACATCTATCCAAAAGCTGATGAGATATTTCAAACATGAAATAACTCCTCTGATGAGTTAGAACAAGCCAGGACAGAGGATAGACCTGATATTGTGAGATAAAATGTTAAGAGGATTTATTAGGAACTAACATTAGGAACTGATAATGGTGTATGTTCTGTGGCCATACATACAAGCAGCTGTAAAGTAGATGGAGAAGGTTTGACTGACTGACTGACTTGCAGTTGGACCATCCAGATACATGTGTATTGACACTAAAATCACTTGGCACACCCTGATTATACACAGGTGACCTCCATTTACTTTATTATGCAACTTCCAAAAACAACTGCACCAGCAATGATTTGGGTGTGTCACAGGTAAGGGTGTGACTTATGTAATCATGTTTTTTTGTTTTATATTTGTCTTTAATCTAGAACAATTTGTAGAGATTTGTACTCTTTGTCTCTGCCATTTAGACCTACTTTAATTAAGGGTAAAGCTTGGTTTAATTATCATGCAGAAACCTTGTCAGCTGCTTTTCTACACATTTCCAGTTTGTCCAGTTTGCTTTACTGCAGTGCTAACTTTTTGTGGTGCTAACTAACCACAGAAATACAGTATGTTGTGTATATTCAGATACAGTTTTTGGAATTATTCACCCAGAACATGGATTATCTTGGGACTTCCAGTGGCCCTTTTATAGAAACTTAATTATTTTCTATATTTACACTGCCCTGCAAAACTGAGGAGCACCAATTGCTTGAGGAATGATTTTGAAAATGACTCAACTATTTATTTATCTATTTATTTTAATCTCATTTCCCACAAACTTGAATGTTGTCCACCACAATAATTGGCTTTAAGAGCACATAAAAACTCTGGTGCTACTGCAGCTTACCTTCACACTAATGACTTATCCCTGCATAATGATTCAATGGAGAAGTTCAAGCTTGTGGTTTTCCTCCCTACTTCAGCTTCAACTTTCAGTGTGAAGTAGCTGCTAGTAGCAAAACCCAGACTGTTTTAATAATGTTATTTTACTATTTCTTCTCCAACATTGTGCATGTTCAAATTTATTCTCTAGATTCAATTTTATTGCTTATTATTCTAAAGACAACAAATAAGCCTTTGCTCAAAATTGGCTCTGATTTGCAAACTTGTGCAATATGCAGCACGCGTGCATCTACTCCATTGTGTATGTATTTGTCTTGGCCTGAAGAGCTGCATTTTGTATTAGCATTTCCTGTAATGGGCGACACAGAATGTCACAGTAACTTTCATTTTCACTTGAATGCTTTCCTTGCTCTGAAAAGTGCTATCAGCATGGCTCTGGTGATTATATTGGAGGGACTGCCACTAAATTTTGTTCAGACACAGATGGTCCCCAGCAGATGACCTTTCCTGTAGCACCACCATATGACTGAAAGTGTTGGTTTCAACTTGAATACCTGGGCCTCACAGAGCTACCACCACAGCTGTAGACTCTCACTGTTGTTACTTAATCGCTTACACATAATAATGGTAACAACTGTGGTTCAATCTCGGAGAAATCTTGATAAATTACCTTGCAAGTTGATTTCTAGAAAACATACTGTATAACTACAAGAGAACCTCGAGACTCAAATAGTTACCAAGTAAAGACAAATGCAGGAAACAAAGCAAACTGTCACATTTGATTTATGTTTATTCACTCCTTGACTATTTGTTGAGCATGTGAGCTCTTTTTAAGCAACAACCTGTTTCACAAATACATATTATACACACAGACACCTTGTCTTGATTTGGATTTTTGTATATAACTAAATCCTGGAGGATTTTCAGTTCTGTAATATGAATTAATCTAATGTAATACAGAAGCAAACGGCTTTGACATAAATCTTTGATTGTGTTTCTTCATTGATGTGCAGCCTGTCACCTGTTTGTCTACAGGATAATTACAGTGTGATGGGAGTTTTTGTTTTCCTTCTTTATTTGTACGCTTTATGTAAATTAAATCTAAATTTTACGAATAATCCTGAATGAGAAATTTAAACCCCAAATTAGGGCTGAACAATATGCAACAAAAAATTGTATTGCATTTATACTGACAAATATTGAGATTGTGATGAGTTGTGTTTTTTGTGGCAATGGTAATTTTTTTGTAATTGGAGAATATGGGAGATCACGCAGAACATGATTTGTGGACTGGAGCTTTTCTGTAGCACCACAGTGCTTTATTTATAATGGCATGTTGTGACACATTTTACCTTCCTTAAATAATTGCAGCTCCTACTATTTGGATATTGCACTTGGTCATATTGTATTTTCAACAATATTTCGAGTCATTGTTCAGCCCATTAAAAGCTACAGAGATCATCTGGATGTCTGTTATTTTAGTGTCAGATTGTAGATTTATAAAGTAATCCCAGAGTACATTAGCTATTAGCTAATTTGCTAAGTGTTATTGTGCGAGTTTGTAATTTTATAATAAACTTCCACATTAAGACGAAACACAGCTAGAAGATGTTAAAGTTTGTAGCTTCACGGTATTATCTTGATGCCACTTTGCAGATTCCTCTCGGTCAGTGATGTTTACTGACTGAAATGTGACTCAAGATATTTTCTTGGCTTTCTGCAACTGACTGTGACTAATTGAGGCAGAATATACTTTAAAATATCTTTAATCTTTGTGTATGCACGTAGAAACTTTACATGCACATTTAACACAATCAACATTAAAGCAATGGAAAATTTGAAACCACAAAACACAATTGTCTTTAACTTGTTGCATACCAGTTCACTAGAATTTCTCAGTTCTCATGTTTCCTTCTGAATATTAGGTAACATTAGGTTCTAGCTTCAGACACTCACAGTGGTTTCAGATATAATCCAATTTCAGTCCTAAAAAAATGGAACCCAGGACGATAAATTCCTGCTGAGACCAGTTCAAAGTCCTCTTGCTTTGACAAACTGTTCCTTGGACGGTGTGGCTGTGTCCTCTGATCCTCCTTCCCCAGTGACAACATTTTTTATATTCCCTTCAGAGTCTATGACCACCGTGGTCCTCTTCAGCTCCTCATAGCGTGTCTGTCGCTCAGCAACGGCAACGCAGGCGGCCAGCACCTCATCAGACTCAAAATCATAGTCCTGCTCCAGCTCAGGGGCATTAAGGATCTGGTTTTTGGTCTCCTCTTCTTCCCGAATCTTCTCCTTGGTTGCTAAATTCTGCTTCTGTAACCTCGATGCCCATGCCAGGTCTTCTTGCCACAGGGTGCGCTCTGATGGGCACAGGTGGATTGCAACCTGGAAAGACCTCACAGCCTGCAAGGAGAGTGCCGACATCAGCTCAGGATTCAAACACACAATCTCAGGGCTGGTGAAAAAAACAGGAACACTGAACTCAATCTGTCAGTAAAGAGGAGTTTATGGCCTCTGACAAACTGAACAGTTAGCTCGAGCTCTTCCAGGCCTGTTTATGGGTTCATCGTAATTCTCACAGATGAACAGTAAGACACTGACATCTGTGCAGCTGAATGATCAGGTGAGCTGCATCATCAGCACGTCAACAAGCAAGAAAGTAATGGTCTTCATGCAGTATTGCAGGCAGATTTAATGCTTCATTAAGAAGTCATCAATATCTTTTCGCTGACTGTACAACCATTGATTTGAAAATTATTGTCCCATTGAATAGACATGCAAATGGCCTCCAATTGTTTATGGGATCTGGTATCAACCTTAAGCTGTGATGACTTGCTGACTGTGAAACTGATATAAATCCATCCGTTGCTATTCGAGGTGACTGATGAATTCAAGGGTCAGTTCTGACAGGTGCCTGAAACCTGTCAAGCATATTCAGAAGTTGAGTGGCTGAAAAATATTTAATGGGAGGTTCATTTAAATTACCAACTGGTTCTTTTTTTGTTGACTTTGCACATCTGAATCAGATTTAAGTTTAAGTTAACTGAAGAGCTAGAGACGAGAAGAGAAGCTCAGTTGATTAATTATAAGATAATACCATATATAAGATGCTCCACTACAAATATTTTAATTGCCAAGAATGTTGTGACAAATAAATAGCTGAACAATAAACACAGCTGATTGCTTCACATTGTATGAAACAAATAACAACCCTCATGACTCGGGTCAGGTTGCTGAGGGTTGATTACAGGTTGTGATTGGCATGCAACATGATCTGCGCACCCAGTTTGACAACACATGGAGGGCTGGGGAAACTGACAGACAGTATGTGGCGGTAAATGTTGACATTGTGGCGGGCTGCCATTACTAAATCGATGTATGGGAAACACAGGTTGCACCTGTTCCCAGAGATACAATGAGTCACATCCAGTCCAATGCCTGCCCAAGAACAAAGTCTTGTGGCCAACCTGTGGCGAGGAAGTGTTGCCGATGCATCAAACGTCAAGCATTTAATGACCACAACAAAACCAAACACTGGTTTTTTAACCTTATTTGCCTGTCTTGGCCCTAAACAACAGCTTCAACAAAACATGAAGTTGTTACTACAATGCAAAGAAATAATTTAGTAATAATTTTCTGTTCCAAGGATTTTCTTTATAAATTTGAAACTGGTAAACTGGTATGAACCTAATACTTGGTTGGTTTCTTATTTAACTACTTAACACGAATCTCACATTGCTTGCAACTTCACATTCCCCACCTGTAACATAAATAACCTGCACAGTCAAGTTCAACTGAAAAAGTCTTTGACGGATGAACCATAATAGATTCCTGACAAATGAAACCGTCTGTGCCCCCAAAAAAAACATATCAAGTTTCATCTTGAACAGACCAGATTCTCACTGAGTGAAAGTAATCCATCAACAGGCAAAACTCCACTGCACGCAGATTAACCGGCTTCAGGGAGAAGAACGTAATGATAATAACGAGGAGATAAATGGCAACAGAGCTGTCATGCTGCAATGTTGTCAATGTCAGTTTCCAATATTTTTTAAAACACTAAGAGAAGTGACACAAAACAAAACCAGAAGCTATCAGTTTGTTTTTTCTGGGTACTTTCCATTTTCCTTGAGTGAGACTGAGAGGAGTAGAAATTAAAGAAGGCAAAGGAAAGAGGACACTATTGAAAAGAGAAAATGGGGATTCACTGCACTCACATTTGCACAAACAAGCACTACTCAAACATGTTGATGCATACAAAACCCTAAAACTCGACCGAACAAGTCTCGCTAAAAATAGACGTGTTTTTTTTCCCCCTTCCTTCCCAATAGCTTCACTATACAAGGAGGTGTGTCTATATTTGGTTTAGTTTTATCTTAAGTAACTTTCAACACTTCCCATTGTTGTTTCTGGTGCCGTAGGACAGGTCTCTCGCTCCAGGACATGTAGGAGCGACACACAGTGCCATTAGCTGAAAGGTGTTCAGCCTTATTTGCTTCGCTCTAAATGGATGAACAGTGTAACAGTGATTCGAAGCTTTTCGCACACCCACAGGTCCCGGCGTGTTCTGGGGCAATTTAAGCAATCGTCCAAGCCCCAGGCGCCTGGGTGTGCTTTGAAGGAGCCACTTCATCTTAGAAGCTGGGAGTTTGCAAAAAGTAGTAAACAGAAATAACTGACATATCTTAACGGCTCTTCAAAAACCAAGACACAATTGATTTATAGATGGCTACAAAGACAGGTGTAGTTTATTGCAAAGTCCAATCCAATGAAGGCCATTAGTGACGGACTGAGCTAGAAGCCATCAATTGTTATGCATCACAACTGAGTGAATGTTTTCACAGTCTATATGTGTCAGCATGAATTTTGGTGTTAGCTCAGGCAAAATAGCGCCTTTTTGACTATAACCAAACAATGTACCTGATTTTAATCACCAAAGTGAACACAGCCTCAGTCATCCCTAATACAACATCACCTGTAATTAGTAAACAATGTTATGTGACTGCTTTTTTAGGTTCTGATATTTCTTCCTATCATGTCTCCTCCTGTTCTGGCTCCTGTTCTTACTAAATTCTTCCAACTACTACTTTAGCCTTTGTTTGCAGTTGTGCATTCGACAGCTGTTTGACAGTCTTTGTGAGCATCCTGTGTCCTAGTTTCTTGTCATTTGGAGTTTATTACCAGACATACTCACCAGGTCCACCTCACCCAGGTTGAGTTGGGCACGGCCCAGAGTCTGCCAGCCTTCCCACCACAGGGGTCTGAACTTGACGGCCATCTCTGCAGCCTTCACTGCTGGGAACACTTCCTGCAGAATGGTCAGTACCTGTGGTGACACGAGACAGATGGCTGTGGTGAGCATGGAGTTACCTTCGCAAAGGACAACAAGGGTAATTCCCTTTGTTAAAACAGTGTTTACATTAGTATGACTTAAATAACTGTTCTTCCCATGGAAGAGTAATGTTATATCCTCTACATTATATACTATACTGCTGGTCTGCAAAGGAAGAACATAAAGCAAAAAAAACTACTACTTCAGATATACAACATATGTATATAAGCAAAACAAACAAAGAGACAAACTGTACAGACTGTACACAGCATGTAGCTACCAGATGGGCTATACCAATGAAAGCTTAGTATTCTTTTTGTATGAGAAGTGAGGCGGCAGGACAATTTCTTACCAAAAAAGTTACTAACTTGTGCTGCAATTCTTGAACTGAATACAAAATAAGCCAATAAACATCGCAAATGGTAAAACAAATATTGAAAAAAAATAAATAAATAAAATAGGGTTGGGCAATATTGGTAGAAAGAATATTCAATATTTTATAACCATGTTCATAATGACAATATGTGTCAATATTTGCCAGTTTTATAAAACCTTATGTGGTGTGTAGAGAATACTTAGTTGATAAATTGATTAGTCGATCAACAGAAAAAGAACTAGCAACAGTTTTAAGAATCAATTAACTGTTTCAAGCTAATATCGCTTACATTCTCTATTTTGAGTTCAAATGAAATTTCAAATATGAATATTTGCTGTTGCTGTTTTTTATTTCATTTTATTATTTTCATATCAATGGAAATTGAATATCTGGACAAACAAAACAAATTAGAACTGAAACAATTATAATTTATTCCGATAATCGATTGTTGAAGTAATATTTGATAACAAGGCATTTTTAGAAATCACCGTGTATCCTGGAAAGTTGTAATGGGATGCATTTCTTTGCTATTCACCACCTTTCTACTGACCAAACGATTAATTGAGAAAATAATTGGTAGAATAACAATAAAATAAGCGTTAGTTGCAGCCCTACACCAGACTTTTGTCACCTTGGACTTTAGTCACTTGTGAAGGGCATTTTTTTTACTTTTTTACATGTTACAGACCAAACTATTAATTGAAAACTGAATCAACAGATTAATCTGTAATGTAAATAATTTATAGTTGCAGCCCTCACTCACTCATTCACTGTTTGATAGAACAGCACAGGATATAACAACTGCACAGTCATGATCACAAGATTACCCTTTGTAATTTACTTATTCACTTATCGATGCTCACATTTAACAGCGCTGCACTGGACTCAGTAACCTCTTCAACCTTGCAGACTCTCACGAATTATCTTTTATTCAGACATTAAGTCGATTAATGCATGAAATTTTTATAGGGACACTTTTTAATTTTGCCTTGCTGTCATGTAGGAAACGGGCTGTCAAGAGCTAATACCAATGTGCATACATCTGCATAGCAATCTGTGAAAAAACTTTTCACGGACTGTTGATGCTAATCATTCTGTCTGGGACTGCGGCTGTAAAATAAGTGCCTGAAAAACTCTGTATTGCTGCTATCTCAGCCAGAAGATCATACAGTGTATGTAGGTAAGTACAAGTTTCTGACAGAGCAGCTCTCTGCTAGAGTCAAAGTGTGACATCAGAATATACTTGGTTGGTTTCAGAGTATCATCTATACTGGGAATCTTTTTAATCACATATTCTTGTGAGATACCTGAATACTGTTGACCAAATAGAGCACAGAAAAAAAGAGAATGAGGAGCAGTGTCTTTTACATGACCAGTGCTGTCCTCAGTAACACTTCAACAAGAATTTAATTCATCGCTTAAATACCCGTTTGATACGCAGGCAGGTCCACTAATAGCACAAATGTCTCCGCCTCAACACTGAAAAGCAAGACGGCACGAGAGCTGTAAAACTATTAACTTGTATGTTAATTGTAAAAGACCAAGTTACCTCCGGGACCAGTCGACCTCATGACTTCATTACTAAATCTCCAACAGTTTTAATGACATAAAGAAATACTTCTCATTATCAGCAAGATTCCCTTCAGGTTGAAATCATCCATACAGCCAGGACAGGTGTGGTGACAGTTTTACCAATGGAGCCAACTTCCACCAGAGCACACTACAGTCCGCTGTGACAGACGCACAGATAGACAGACATGGGGGCTGGACACATTAAGTAAAAGCTGATTGACATAAATAGAGGGGAAGTGATGAGGGGAAGTAAATAACTAGCGTCAGTGCAGCCACCCTCGTCATCTGGGCAAGTAATGGGAATATGATGAGGTCCAGTCTATTTTCAGCCTAATGATTGCGAATAACATCAGCATTGATAATGGACACTAATAGGTTAGATGTGCTGTAGTTACACACATTGGAGATTAATCTAAGCAAACAGAAAGGAAGGCTGCGCTTATTCAAGCCGATCATGGCATGGGGCAAAAAAAACAAAAAACTTTTGTGGTGGTGTTGTCCAGGCCTGCTCCTCTAATGATTTCCTTCTCCAATATCCTACAATGGATAACGTTACATTAGGCATACAATATTCATTGTGATGTGAATGGTTATGGCAATAAGGAGCAATGTTATTGTGTTAGTTGAAGTAAATGAATAAGAAATAATGGAGAGAGCTCTGTTCGTCTGACTAACTCCTCCGGCTTCTCCGCTCATCCCACATATATGGGAAATATTTTCTCAAAGAGGCTTTTAGAATAAAAGGAGACGTAGCAGTTGAGGAATGACAGCAGAATAGGAGACAAAAAAGACTAATACACAAAAGTATCACCCTAAAAGGAAGAGGAAGTGAAAGTGAAGGAAATGGAACTAAAAAGCCAAAACATTAAAGCTGTTGGAAATGTACTGCAGACTTTCAGTAGTGTCATCACTGTGCTGATATCACTTATGTCACTTAAAAGCATACCACAGGGACAAGGGAAAGAAGGTATATATAGCCATGATGGCTGATAAGAATAACATACACACACTAAAAGTGCATATGCAAAACTGTTGGCTATGATTTCTTTGGTATATTCTAAACACAAAATCCCTGTAAGATATACAGATGTAAAACTACACCCCCAAACTCTGAAGGCAGCTGCTGAAATGCATCATACTGAGAAACATACTATGTATCAGCGATGTGGTCATAGTCCATTTTAACCACATTAGACACAATGACTGGCTGCTTAAAAGACAGGTTTTTACATGTTTATCTTAATCCGACAGACAGGAGCAGAAGCTTTGCAGTGTAAATGAAGTCATTGTTTTGTATTGTTTACTTTTGTGCAGCAAACATAAGTCACATCAGTGGTTAAAAAACTATTTCAATATGGAAAATGCCCCCTGTATTTCATATGTTGTTAATGATTAACCAACTATTGACTGTTAAAGTGGCTAATTAATCAATTAAGGAAATTGCTTGAAATTTGCATCTCCAGCCAGTCAGTGGTCAAGCTGCATTACGGATAATATACTGTAGGTACAACATTTTGACAACTAAAAAAAATTTCTGGTTCTGCTTCATTGATTTTGACCCCCCAGACTTGAAAAAATAATATACCTATCCTTTAAAGAACAGGAGTAGTAGATATGACAAGCATGGTGAGGAAATAAGCAAATAATAAAATGTAAGTTTATATTTTACCTGAGACTTCATCTCATACAGTATTGGGTTATCTGGAGTCAGATGAATGGCCTCGTCCCACTTCTTAATGGCTTCCCAGTGCCTAAAGAAAACACACACGGTTCAGACACACATTATGATTCAAATGCTCCTGAGAAAACTGAAGGATTAATTAAACAAAATGAAACCATAACCTGGCTAAAACAGGTACAGGTGCGCAGTGTGATGCACTACTACATAGCAACACATGTGAATTATTTATAGTCTATGAATGTTATAATGCTACAATTTAAAGTTACCCAAAGCTATCAACGCCCTGCATGGACATGCTGCACTACATTGAGTTAATCATGTCCATGTATTGACTTTGGGTGAGTTTTAATTCTGTGCAACGCTAGTGACTGCGTCAAATAGACAAACACATAAAGTGAAACTGGATATCCAGTTTAATTGTCTCCACCCAGAGGTTTGATATATGCTGTGTAACCTAACATAAGGCCACATGTTTGTTCAGTGGATAACATGAAGATGTTTTCCCTGCTACTTTGTGCTGTTACTTCTTAGACATGTCACTCATATGATTGATCATGTCTTTCCATTCTTGCGTACAACTTCTCAAAAGCTGAGATTAGTGGACTTTTATTAAATATAGCTGAGTAATGTTTCAGATAATGTTTACTATCAGTCTTCCCATGCTTTTTCTGCTTTATAGTAATTTCACATCTATGCTACATGGGCTTCTTGAAGCTATAAAGCTCCCAATGTACTACATAACACCTGTTCACCTGACTGACAGAATGGCAGCACAGAGTACACAAAGGCTGCTGCAGGTTAAACACACACACGCACACGCACACACACCACACACACACACACACACACACACACACACACACACACACACACACACACACGCACACACACATACAAACACACACATACACACATACACACACACACACACACAGGTCTACTGTGGGTAATAGCATCAGTCAGTAGTCAGTTTCTTATCCAAACTAGTGAGGCACTGAAATTGGCTACCAGCACCTTCTCAGGCATGCATGCAGGCAGAAAAACAAACAGGATTTGCATGAAATTTGGGCAGGACTTACACTGAACGTCACTGCGACTCACTCCAAGCATCACCGCGGTAAATCTGCTCATCTGTTTTGCATAGATTTGTTTACATGGGTTCAAAATTGTTTAGGTTTATGACAAACAGGTAGTCACCGTTTTAATACTCTGAATGGACTCATGACTATGTTCCTGCTCACTCTAACAGCCCCCATCCTTCTCAAGTCAATATTGACTCAAGAATCATTTCCTGATCAAGATGAAGATTTGGACAGATTACGAGACGAAATCCTGGTTTTGACAATACGCCTGTTATGTCTGCATCTTTTGTAGCATTATGGAGACGGACATCCGGAAAATTCAACAGCAATTTAAAAAGTCATACAATGAGACCATTAACAATTAGATCTGAATTAAGATTAAAGCCCAAACCAGGATCGAGCCCGACAGAACAGTCAGACAGGGTGAGGAAATGGAAACAGAGCAGTGAAGAAATCTTACCAACAGATGAAGCAAATGACACTGCAAAATCACGTGAGGAAATTAAGCAATAAGCAATACACCACATGTAGCCAGGGACCTAAAAATGACGCCTCTACTCTGTACATACGTCAAAGACTGGACAGAGAGGAGGGAGAGAGAGAGAGAGAGAGGGAAATAACAAAAGTTTGAAAGATAGACTACAATTATTTGCAAGATGTAAGTGCATTCTCATGTTTAGTTTGAAGATAGAGTGAACAAATATGAAACAGACTCAAGCATGTTTTTCTGCTGAAAAAAGTAGAGTATTGGGACATTATGATCACTTCACACAGCGCTGTCCAAAAGAAGGAAACATCCCCAACACATGGTTACAATAACAATAATAAACCAGTAAACTAACAGGCTAATCTAAACCAGGAAACTTGAAAAAAAATAAGCCTTCAGAAGATGCTGAGGATTAGAAACAGCCTTTGAATGCCAGATTACAGAACTGACTCAGCATGGCAGCTGGAAGCCAGATAAATCAGCAAACTATGCGGAGTATTTGGATGATGATGTGAAATGCTGCCTCATAAAACTCCCACACATCCAAAAAAACTAGCCATTCATGATAAAATGTGAGGCACAGCTCTACAACTGCACAGCCTATTTTTTCACCTCTATCTTTTTTAAGGAATGGGATGATGTTTCCAAAACAATTGCCATGTTTTTTTGTGTCCCAGATGTAAAGATGAAAACTGTCAACCACCTTTTGTACAACCTGCAAATGCCTGTTGAGCCTTGCCAGAGTCTTTGTGAGGCGACATTGCAAATGTTCTGAAGTCTAAAGACTCCGAATGAGCTTTCAACTCTAATTTCAACAGTAGGCAACAATTTGTGACCCCGAATATACATGTATTTACAAGTGAATGTGCAGTCTATATCTTATAAATCTTTTTGCTTTCGTTTATTCAACCATTCAACCAGCCAGAAAGACAATGGGTTTTTGTTCTAGTTTAATTTCATCAATGAAAGTGTCAACCAGTCCATTCATGCATATACAAATATGACAGGGCAGTCTGTCATCCTTATTAAGAGTCTACTGTGCATGACAGCAATAGGCGATATTATTTAAATATTTTGGTGTGCAGTACAGAACGAAGACTAGTTTGTCTGTGGTATCATATTTTTCTGCACTGTTTAAGAAGCCAGATGTCAAGTAAGGTTATAAATTACACTGCCAAATCCATTTAAACATTGACCATGGTTGGTAAAACATTAATAATTGTGGGAGTGCAGGAAACTTTGCCAAACTGTGATAAATTACAATTAAACAATATTGGTTGACCTCATAAATGCAGAAAAACAGCCAAAAGTCATATAAAGCGCAAGAGGACACTCTGATCACAAACAGGTACTTACACTTACATCAGAAACATCTAAACAATGGTAATGATAGACTGACATCAGAGGTCAATGTTGTTAGAGGAGGAAAAAACTCCTGGCTCACATCACCCAACCAGACACCATCTCAAACCTCTGAACAGCCATTATGCAGCAGCAAGACATCATTTCCCCGGCAAAATCCACTTTCTCCTTGCAAATACAATTACAGGCCGTCACTAAGGGCAACAACATTACATGTTGTGGACTAAGGGGTTTTCACAAAGCGATTGCTATTTGGCTTAAAAGGTCACTTATCATGGAGGAAATATCAGGTAAAAGTTCCTGAAGGATGATTTTGTTTTATAACATTGGTGTCTATTAAAAAATACAAAAACAACTGAATAATTTTTCTGCCTGTGTCACACAATGTGACGCTCAATTCAGTGATAGATGACTTTCTAAAATTCAAAAGCACAGAAATATCACCCGAGATAAAAGTATTGTTTACCATCATTCAGCACAACATAAACTCTTCACAAGGGTTTACTTCAGAGGGTCCTTGAATGAACTTTAGCAGCAATGTGTTGTTTACTAATATTTAAATATGTCCTTTTAATCACTTTCTGTTTGAAAAGCTTTTATTAAATTGCTCCATGTTTTTATTTTTCCAACATAACATTAAATACAGATTCACAGGCCTGAAGAGCAGCTTCTACAATGTACAATCTACAATGTTTTTTTTTTTTATTATTATCATTAACTGATCTCATTCTGAGAAGAAGAAAATCTCTTTGTCTTTTGAAATGCAAATCTAAACAAGATGATCATATGATGATCATATGACCAGATGATTACACATTTCACCTTGTACATTCACAGAAATGACATTAAATAAAATAGAGAGAAAACCTCAAGCGTAGATGGACCTAAGTCAGACGTCATCTATTTGCTGTGTTAGACAGATATGTGTGCTCTGTGCAATGGTGCCCTCCTCTGGAGAATACCTGATGACACATCTCATTGTTTGCAAAGTTTAGCTGCTTTTAACTACTCTGTAGATAAATACATCTCTGGACCGTATGTCTGAGCACCCAGCAAAGATGGAATTAAAACCCTGCAATCCAATCTATTAGTCCACATAAATACTCCAGGAGCACACCAGTTAGGAAGTCCAGTATCATAGAATAAAATAAGATTGAAGTTGTAATCCTGCTTGGTATAAAACTGGCACAGAGTGTAGGAAAATGTCTTTGAAAGGAAATAATAGTGCACACATAAAGCTGGTTTGTTCAGCACTGGTCGGTTTTGTTTAAGCCACAGCTACGCAAATATCCAGTTCTTGTGGTTCCAATGAGATATAATCAGCAAAAGTCCTCACTAATCTGCCACCCAGACACCAATTAATAGCTCTGTGTATCTCTGTTTACAAGCAATTTAACAAAGAAGTTGCAAAACTGTCCCAGTAACCGATGTTAGTATGTCTGTCTGTGTCTGTGTCTGTGTGTGTGTGTGTGTGTTATATATAGAGCTGTCTCCGACATGGTGTGCAAGCACAGAAGACTGACTGACTTTGGGCACCTTCCCTCACCTGCCTTCTTCAGCCAGCAGTGCACCCTCATCTTTCAGCCTCCTGCTCTTTGCTGCACAGTCCTCCAGCAGGATCTCCCGCCGTCGTTTGATGGCGTGCAACCAGTCCACTTCCTCCTCATCCTGACCTGGTCCATCATTTTCGGCCTTCTCCGCCTCAGCCTCAAACTGCCGCACCACCGTCTTTGACACCTTTTCACCAGCTTTCCTCTTCCAGCCAAATGAAGCCATCCTGTACGGATACATGTAGGGTCACACGCTTTAAATCCTGCCTCATCTGAAAACAGTATGTAGTTTGCCCTGGGGAAATCTTGCTGAAAGACTTTTATTTTGAAATTCTAGAAATCTGGCTAAATTGTAGCATGATCTGCATCAGCTACTTACGCATCCAGTAGTGTACGACAAAGTTTTAGCACGGCTTCTGTAGTTAGGCGTTTATCTGGTTTGAGTACATGTCATATAGCTAGTTATCTAAAAAACTACAACTCTAAGACTTGTCAATAAACAAAAACAACCCTGTCACATCAACGCTAGCTAACGTTAGCTATGGTAACTGGATAACAAACTGTCATGTCATTTCTAACCGTTAATACGTCATTATGTTTGCGCAAATTTGATTTCATTTTGACACTAACAGATATATATTGTTATTTGAAGACAGCAGGGAGAAAGGTATACGCACAAACTTTTTCAGCTTTCCGTGAGTAAGACTGGACGGGATATCGGCAGCTAATGCTTAGCCATATTTGTTGACCCTTGAGGCCGCGTTCAGGACGTATCGTTAAATCGTAATTACGAGCAGCTGAGTCGCGAAAACGTTCATGTCAATCTCCGACTTGTAATTTCGAGTCGGAGATATCAGGAATACCCCCCAAAATGTCCCAGCGGCGATGTTTTCTACGTGGTGACCTTAGCTACAGACAGGTTAACAAACTGTTGGTAAAATGACGTTAATTGCACCAACGATAGCAGTTACTTCAAAATATGAAATCCAGCTTTAATACTGCACAATTCATTCATCTTATTTCATATTAACTCAATCTACACTGCTTGTTTGTATCTTGTTTCACTATTTTCGCCTTATTATCTGGGATGACAGTTATGTTAGCAGGCGGGCTAACCGCCTCAGAACAATGCGTAGACACTCCGGAATAACGTTGATTTTTCTACACATTCTACCAACATTACCTGAATGCAGCATGACCCGGAAACTGGAAATGTTTACGTTATCGCTTAAAGAAACACAACCCTAATTTCCAAAGTTGAGAATCTGAAGCTTGTTCAGTTAGTTTTTTTATTTTCAGGAAAACGTCTTTGCTATAATGCAATGTTGCAAAATTGTCACGCTCACACTATCCCCCTAGATGGCAGCACAGAGATTACTCTGTGGCCAATTTCTTGACATATTTAACATTTTATGTACCACCCAAACTGTAATATTCTTTACAGTTTGACATTGATTGATTTGTTTACAAGGAAACAAATGTAATGAGTAACATTCAGTTTCCTTGGTAGTGTTTATTGCACAGCTGTTATGTTAAATTGGCACTAAATTTCAAGTTAATTTTTCATTGAATCTGTCAAAACATAGAAACATTAAGAGGCTTCAGCAGAATTGTGTGCAATTTAGCAGTTTATTAGGCAGTTGTGTATACAAATGATTTCAATACTGTCCATTCAGATTTACACTGGTCAATCTGGTAGGGTCCCTTTACACAGCAAACAAAAATAGAACAATATTTCTTTGAAGCTGTTCAAACATATAGACTGACAGAAATTACCTGCCAAAAGTCCACTGAGAGACTTCTCCATACGCTGTCAAAAAGGTCACCGTTTCACACATTCATCTTTCCCACAAAACTCGTCATTTAAGCCATGACAAGTTTTGTAATCAGAACTTGCAACTTCCCTTTAAAACTAAAATGTTTAGTTTTACAATATGTTTCCAAGACCATAGTGTGCGTTTCTTTAACATGATCACTATATGTCATAAACTCTAGTTTAAAAATGAGACATAAAGGTCAAACATCAACTAAATTTTTCAGTCCAAGCCTACCCTGCAGGACAGCAAGGAGACAAGATGATCACAATTATTGTCACTCTTAGCAATTTTTGTTCTATTATATCTCTGAAATGTAAAATTGTTTATACAAATGAGATATTTAGATTTTTAAAGCTGTGGAGAGCTAAACACTGGAAACCCAGACTTCAGCAAATGTTGACACCTCTTCATAAAAAGAAAATAAAACTTGTCTGATATCATAATGAGATCATGCAAAGTTCTTTAACACCTGGTTTAATTTACAAAAGACAAAAATGATGATGAAATGAGAAATCAATTTACTATTTAAGTTTGGTTTGTTTTTCCTATTACCATTATTAAAAAGTTGGTAGCAGTCACTGAGGTCTAAACTAGTTTGGCAAGAACATCAGATGTTTATTTTAAGTTTGCAGTTAAGAATTCTACTTTTTTTCTGTAATGTCAACACTTAGTAATCATCTGTGAATTCTTAACTAATAGAAATTGTGAATGAACAACACTGACAACACCATTTGTGGACCCTTGCCCTTAAAATTGCAAAAAAAAAAGGTGTCAATAATTCTGATCAGCACTGAATTCCAACATTTACAGACATAAAAACAGATTAACAGTACTGATAATGATAAGGCAGCCAAACAACAGACACCACTTAAAACTTTAAGACTGGACAGGAAATGGAGGGAGACGCATCATACTTATGATTAAAGACATATCAAAAGACATTGTGAGATTGCAAGCATAAGGTTCCTGTCTGACATTTTTATCAAGTATAAATCAGCCACACATGTTATGGTCTCAATGCTTGTGATGTTTTTTTTAATTTCTCAAAATTGCGACCTACCCAGCAGGACTTAATAATTACAAGCTCACAAGTCTGTTTCAGGTTCAAACATGAACCTTTTTTCTCAAGGTCCATTCTTCAAGGGAATGTGTGGGCAATGAAAACAAACATATTTAAAAATGACAATATTTTGGTTGTATTCACCTGCCAATAGACACTGTCCATGCACTGCATGTAACTGCTACTACTCATTTTCAAATTGAGCCCTGAGGCCTATACACTTGTGATGGATTGGCATTTACGAATTGAATGTAGGCAAAAGGCATTTCACTCAGTAATCATTCTCAAATCCTATACATCACTCCGCTAATCATACCACTATAAACAAAAACAAAAAAACGAAAAGAAAATACAACAAAAAAGTCAAAATCAACTTGTCATTTTAATATGTGACACTGAAAATGATATTTCTAGATTTTGACCCTCATGGCAAAATATCTTAAATGGTAAAAGCAGGCTATATTTATCTGGAAAGACAATCAAGTATCAGAATAATTGTGATTGAAGGAAACAAAACTGATATTGATTTAAAAACAAGACAGTAAAAAAGGAAAATATATTCCATCCAGCAATAGATCTTAATGCAAAAAAAAAAAAAAAAAAACAATTCCATTTCCAAAAGAACCAACACTCTGTCCACTTAACGCACTGATAAATATATTCACGTCTTTATATATAAAAAGGTCGGGGACAGACAAATTCAAACAAATTTTTACAACAAGGACAAAACCATGAAAATTTAGTCTCTGACAACTCAGATTCACAAAAAAGAAAACCAAACATAAATCTGATGAAGCATTCTTTTATCCCTGACGCAAGACAGAAATACAGGGGTCATTGCACTTCTTGTAGTCCAATGAATGTGATGGGCATGACAACCCTAGTTATAGCCAGTGCAGCACCCCGATACATCTGCACTACTTCTCTGATCCCCACTAAGAGAAAAACAAGAGCAGCAGGAAATAAAAGAAACTTGTGCAAAAGTGCTTCCTGCATCCTATACCTCTGCCACCCAACTACCCAACCCTTAACGTGTGGCTTCCTTCTGTGCAGGCAAAAACTTGGTCTTTATCTCTGTACTGGAAAGCAGTGCTCACTGGCTACAGTACAGAAAATTCAGTGTAATCACTTGCGCATATATGTATAGGTGGGATGTGGACATTTGCTATTAAATTGATCAGGATATTGTAACCCCCCCCCCCTTCCTAATTGTTGTTCTGTCCTAGCTATTAAGTAGCTTGTCATTCATCTTTTCCAATAACCCCGTACATCCCCTGTCAGCTCGGTATACATCCCTTAAGCTAAGGGAACATCAACCTGCATCAGTGCCATGGGACAATCACTTCATCCTCAGCTGGGATGAATTGAGCCATGAATCGGTTGCATGCTTATTGCTATAAAGACACTCGGAGAGGAAAAAAGGCTAGCGATTGTTTTGCAAGTTATCGTGCAAGTAGTTTAATAAGATTTGCGCACATCTCAAAGAACTCGATGGTGTGGCTTCCTGGTCGAGGGACAGACGCGTTGTCCCCCCCTCCCGTTGAGTCGATGGATGAGGTCAACGATGAAGCTAAGGAGCCTTCTGCTGCCTTGGTGGGGTGCACAACGCTAGATGTAGGTGGAGCGTCAGCCCCATCTACATCGTTCTTAATAGTGGTGCGGTAGTTGCCCACAGACCCAGAGCGGAGAGGGGTAGCAGTTCCAGATTTTGTCTCCAACATATCATCTAAGTAATACAAGACACAACATGTTTTCTACACTATTCACATACAAAATAAATTGTCAAATGTCAGTCCAGATCAATTCCTGTAGAGTATCTACAGGTTTGGTAACAATGTTTGGCATAAATTCATGTATGAAATAAATATTGTAGGCCTTATTGCCACTACTGCTTTTCTGTCATTCTTTGAGGTACAGTATGGCTATGAAAAAGGTATTAGATCTCATTCTATGTTGTATTAAAAAAAGTTATATTTTCTGCCTTTCTACACAATCAGCGTTTGATTTTATTTTCAAATTCCTCAGCTAAACGTGGCTGACTTTGCAATAGCCTGAAGTCAAAATTTAGTCTCATACCCTGTACACAGCATTCCTGTGCTACATGAATGGTGCGTAACAACACTGTTATCTCGTATTTTCCTTTGAGGTACCGCTGGGCACCTACACAGTCTGCAAAAGCTCTAGCCTCAACCCCGAGTCAATCATTTATGAAGTCTGCACTGGTGCAGTGTACCACAGGACAGAATCCAGGTAAACACTACCTACATACAAGGAGCTGCATTCAGGGCTTACCAGAATGTCATGTCGGTATTCACAGCTTATAACTGCTGACTGTTTCAGTGGTATGAGTCCAGTTTGACTAATACACCTATTTCAGGTTTATTGAAAAAGCTAAATCATCCATCTTTCTGTGTTTTTCACACATATTTTAGTAAATTAAATTGATACAGAACTGTGGAATTAAACTTACCGTCTATGCTACGGAAGTCAAGGAGGTAGGTTCTACTGTCCACCTGGTAGAGTTGAAGGCTCATCTTGGTTTGCATCCCAGTAATAGGATTCTTCCTTCTCACACGTAAATAATATGGATTCACAACCTGAGACAGTTATGAAGAGTGAAGAAAAAAAATCACTGTATAAAGCTACTTATTTTAAGTACTCTGATATCACAAATTAGCATGATCTCAACTTAATTACTGATAATATGAGACCCCATTTCATCAACAAAAGAAGCACTATCTTATGCCTATTTTCTCCTTCATGCTGCCCTCATGGAGTTTCTTCCTTACCTTCCACTCATAATCCAGCTGTTTCATGGCACGGCACACTTCCGACATGATATCATTGGGTCTACTCTGACTGCGGATACCCAGGTGCCACTTGGCCCTTCTTACACCCTGGTGCTTGGACTTCTGGGGGTTCAATTCGTCCAGTGTGTGCCGAGGCCTGGGAGGAGTCTCCGCCAAGAGGAAGGGTACACGCTCAGGGTGGGGCTTGATGATGCCAGCCACTGCTGCACCAGATGAGGTCAGGTGCTGGTCGTCTAGAAAAGAGTCGGGAGGGCTCGATGCCAGGTAGAAATCCTTGGCTTCACTCATGATGCGACGATTGTCAATGATGAGGTGGTAGGCGACGGCCAATGGGTCCTGATGGTTGCGACTGTATATGCAGGCCAGGACCTCCTCCTCAGTACACTCAAACTTCTCACATACTTCCTTCAGGGCCTCATCGTCAATCATGTTGTTGCTGTAGGAGGGGTCCTCTGGGAACAAGTATTTAGGCAGGTCCTGTTTGAACCAGTCATCCTCTCTGTGGGAGGGAGACATAATTTTGCTTTTAACATCCTAAACACCATGAATGCAACAGAGTCAATTATATGAGTTTAACACATTCACTTCACAAAGACAACCTACTCTATAATGTAGACAAAAAAGACAAGATGTTCATAGCAGCAGTTTGACTTTGTAATTAATCTCAGCCAGCTCACCGGATCTCTTTGATAGTGGCTCTTTTCATGGGGTCCACCTGCAGCATGTGTTTAAGGAGGCTTATTACTGAAGGGTTCAGATACTGCGGCGTGAAAAAGATCCCATCACAGATCTTCTTAAAGAGTGTTGGCACATGGTCGTCATCGAAGGGAAGTGTCCCACACAACAAGGCATAGAGAATGACCCCACTGCTCCAGATATCCACCTCTGGACCAGCATATAACCTGAGGACCAATAAAAAGAAACAATCCTATAAGCATGAAAACAAAGTTTTACTAGGTTTTGTTAATTCAGCAATGTGTCCTATAGCATAAGAGGATACCTATATCTATATCTATGAAAAGAGTGACATTACCTTCCTGAGATGACCTCAGGAGCAGCATAGTTTGGAGAACCACAGCTTGTTCGCAGGAACTCTCCATCTGACATCATGTTTGACAAACCTGTTAGAGAACAAACGTGTATTTATGTATATTTATAGCTGTTCCCTTACTTGAACATTTATCTGTCATTTCAAAGTAAAAATTTGAGGTATTCTGACATCATGAGGACAAGTGCTCCACCTAATCCTGCTGCTGACAGTACAACTAATCTTTGAGTCACTGTAACGTGAAGCTACACAGATAAAGAATTTATTTAGTCCTATTTGCTAAATGATTAAGTAGAATTAATGCTATTCCCACTATGTTCTCTATGTTCCCACAACTTCTGTGGTCCGGTCACTGCAGTTCAAGCTCAGCCTCCCAGCAAGGAGGTTCTGCCTTTTTCTCTCACATCAAAAACAAAAATGAGTCACGGAGAAATAACAGAGAGCAGTGATAAAACATAGTACCATAAATGGATCCAATAGATAAGAAGATACATACGATTCACTAAACATTCAAAAGAATTAGGAAAAGGTATGCTAAAGTGGATTAGCTTAAGGTAAGACGCAACAACATGCAGCACTTTAGTAACCTACATAACCTAACTTAAGTAACCTAAGGTGAAATACTGAGTTTGAAAACTAGTTCTGCGTATGTGCTTAGCAAGATTTAGGCCTAAGGCTAACCTGAGCTTTCTTGTAAAGAAACACAGTTAGGTTTACATTCACTATGTGTATTCCTTAAGGTGTAACAAATACGTCTAATGTACTTCCCTCCTCAAACAATGTTTGAAAATCAGATTTTTGAAACATAGATTGTTTAAATCCATGATTATTATCCGTCAGTAAGTCAGACCCATACATAAAAAAACACTGCTCCACAGCCCCATTAGACGTCACAAACGCCACCTGGTACATTTAATTTAGAGCTCCTGAGCAAAGCCCTGTACTACTGTGTCCCTATGTTTCGTATTATAATAATGTCACCTGCTAAGACTCCTCGGCTTAGGACTGAGACACACTTACCAAAGTCAGCAATCTTGGCATTCATATGGGCATCAAGCAGCACATTTTCAGGCTTGAGGTCTCGGTGAACCACCATGTGTCTGTGGCAATAGTCTACTGCTGAAATAATCTGCTGGAACAGCCGGCGACTCTCCTTTTCATCCAACTGCCAAAGCAGAAATTATCTGTTAGGTGTGATCTTCTCTGACACTCAGTTAGCACATCACAGCTGACTAAGCAGCACTTGTTGTGTTTTGATATCTTCTCCTATTGCTGTTGGTTTTTGGTTCACACAGCTCATAAATTACTGCATCTGCACCAAAGGCTGGCAGTAACACCAAGCACATAATGCATTTCTATCCTCTGGTCCCCTCACTGAGTATAAAATATACAACATCTGCTACATATGACAAGACGGAAAGAGTGAAAGAAAATGTGGGACATAATTATACCAGACTATAAGCTATTTTCCAGTATCAGTGTATTACCTTTCCATTTTTGCAGATGTAATCAAAGAGCTCTCCTCCTGAGACATACTCCATCACCATGAAGATATCTGTGGGGGTGCTGATAACCTGATACCTGTAGTAGTGTGCACAAAGATGGAATCATTGGGATCATCAAGTAGTTCATATTAGACAAACATAGATTGTTATAGTTTTATAGTTATTGTTTTATCAAAGAAACACATAGCAAAGAAAACCAAAGAAATAATATGAATGTTTGCTATTCAATTTCCTGGATTTAACTGTGGAATATTGTAATAACATCATAAGTGGACAGAGGACATGTGATTTGTTCCCAATGACTCAATAAAACCAATACAAAACCCACTTCTACCCATAGCAGGAGTGGCTCGATCTCTGGCAAAATGGCAGAGCTTAACAATAGGACAAAAGATAATATATTGGTATTTACTGCCTAGATATTACCGAAATACTCCTGTCATAAAAGCATTGTATAATAAACTTTACAAACTTGTCTTTTATTGCATCATCTCATGCATGCCCTCCCTCTCCGTTGCTCTCAGTTGCTCAATATTACATAAATGTTCATAAAAGATGCTTAAAATGTCATTAACATTTAAATAGAAATCTCATCCCTAAAAGCAATGCGTGATCGCAGAAGCAAGATAGTATCAACTTCTCAACCCAGTCCAGGAGGAGCCTGCACTTTCACTCATTATTATTATTTGGGCAAAAAACTCTGGTTTGTTTGCCCATTTGGTTTGGTAGGTTTGTGAAATCTGTTAATCAAACTATGGTATGCACTAAGCAATCAGAGAAAGACCACAGGACTGTGATATGTGGCATGAACTGAAGCACTAAATTACTATTAAATCCATCTGCTGATTGTGAACTAACCTTCACTTACTTGCTTCGGTCCAAATAAAACAAACTACATTTGTTATTTTACTGTCTATCCTTTCAGTCCAAGGCAAAGTGAGAAATTCTTGCAAGTTAGCATCCACACTGGCACCTATCACACCTACATCTATTTACACTACAATGGCAGTGTGGATACACTTGCACATGAGCCACATTTCTCACCATGATTATCATTTTTAACATTAAGCAGCAGAATAAACTACCAGGACAAATGAAATTCCTGTCAGCCTGACAGAAACCACACTGCAACTCTGAATCCAAAAGTTTTAAAATAATGAAAAACAGTAGCACAGTAACAGCAAAGTGAGAGTTAGGTGTCAAACTTTACTCACAAAGACCTGTCTTCAGTGGTGGAAAACAATGCCAGTTTTAACTTGTTTAGTTAGCATGCAAACCAGCAAGCCCCAGTCCGGCCTGACCATTTCATCCACTCTGCTCTGAAGATGTAATGCTGCCCAGTGGGCATATTATAACCTCTTGTATTAACCTCTTGTATAAACGCAATGGTGGCTGAAGCTCTTGGCAAGCGACCATCACCACCCTTTCCCAGCAAGAAACCATGTTTGGCAGCAGAGAACAGTTAGAAATAGTCCCTTTAATATACTGTAGGAAAACATTCTGACTGTTTTATCTTCACTCCACCAGCATCAGTCCATCAATCACAAAAAAGCCACGTTTGTCTGAAGGTAAAAGCAATAATGGTTCTGATGCAGTATACAGGAACAAATGCATCTCAAAGTTTAAATTCAGCAGATGTGACGGATGGTGACTAACTGCTCACCTCATGTGTCACAGTTGTTAAAACATTCTGTAAACAAGATGAAGCAGTACTGTGTAACATTGCTCCATTTGCCTTAACTAGACATGATTCAGATTAGAAACACTATGCTGATCACTCTGTCTCAATGTTTGTGCACCCTTTTCAAGATGGCATCTCTATCTCTCGCTCTCTCAAACGCACACACACACACACACACACACACACACACACACACACAAAACAGTGTTTACATTCTTGTGCATGCATGACATGCAGCTGGTATTTCAGGAAATTAGCCACACCTGCTGGTCCAGTATAATGACCCTTTAACTGTGGCCTTTCAGCCTGTGGACATTCACATACAGGCAGGACGTACCTCCACAATTTTCAAACTATATTTTTAGATCAATGATCTTCTTCGACAGTATACCATCACAACATTTTTATGTTACCAAATGGAGTGTTTTTTAGGCTAATAGTGGTTACTGTCACTGCTTGATGCACCTGTGCATTAAAGCAACAACAGTGTACTACACTGGCCACTCAGTTTATACATTTAAATTTAAACAATGACTCATTCTAAATTTTGCAGCTACTTATCTAACTGCATCAACACATGCAGATGTCATCAACAATGCTACAAACAATTTGAAAAATGACAGATAATGTGTTTGGATCGAAAGTGACAATTACTTTCTGCTGAAAAACAACTGCACTATACATACCCATGCAAATATATAGTGAACACACATTCAGTGATTACTGAACTCAGACAGCAAGGCATGACAGAAGACAATGACAAAGCACTTTTGTACATTGAAATGAAAGGTCAACAGAGGGGATAAACAAAACAAGTAATAACATAGAATGGGCAGAGGACTGATGGGAGAGGAGACTGGGTCAGACAGATATTGTCCTAGATGGATGTATTCTAAAACACACCATTAAAGCCTGGAAATAGCTCAGTGGGTGGCATTAATGTGGTGGCAGGGGGATTATGGAGCAGCGAGCAGGGTGTAATCTAGGACTTACAGTTTAATTATGTGAGGATGCCTGAAAAGCTTGAGATTCTGGATCTCCCGGCGAATCTTTCCCACCACATCCAAACTGCGGATCTTCTGCCTGTTCAAAATCTTTACTGCCACTTGGTGCTTGGTCAGCTCATGTTGGCCCACTACAGGATAAAAAGAATGAGAGCACATGAGTGATACCAATTACAACCCACGATGTATAAAAGATAACAAATACCACAATTGAAGAAGAGAATAATAGAATAATGCAAAACTATTGTAACTATGAGCAAAAAAAAAAAAAAAAACTTGCATCGTTAAAATATCAACTTTTCAGGAAATAAAAAAAAACATTCATTAACTGATTTGTTTGGACACTTAGGGGCAGCATAAACAGGCTGTACACAAAACATTTGACATATCATCACCTTATAGAGTTGATATTGTGAACTTGTTAGCAAACAGTTGCTTTACACGGAGCAACATTAGCATTCATTCAGAGTCCTGTTTCTGTTCTGATGAATGTAAGTCTAATATTTGCCCTTTATTTGGCTCAAGTCTGGTCTCCCCAAAATGAATCTAAAAGGTACACACTATTTCACTATGTTCACTAGCTAGTTGCTAACTTTGTCAGTTTGCTATTTAGAGCTTGATAGAAAGCATACAATGCTTTTATCAAAGTTTTTGTCTGGAAAAAGCTGCCAGTTGTGCTAGGTGATGCTAGGATAACCAATCAGTGAACCTAAACGGTAAAATGTGCTAAAAGACACTAAAACACTCTGTAGAGATGAGAAGAACTATACAAGTTAAGTCATAATTCTCTGTAGGTTTGTCACTACAAGTGGCCCTTTTCACATACAAGTAGTCATTTGATCTGCTGTTGATATAAAATATGATTATAGCAGCGTTAAGTGTAAGAAGATACTGCTTCTGCATCTGCTAAACACTGATATATCTATGCAGCTGTAACCTCACACACAAGACCCCGAAATGTTAAGTTCAGGACCACTTGTTTTTATCTTTTAGACATTGTTTAGCCTGTGGCTTCTGAAGGGGTTTCTATAACAAAAGATATAATCCTTCAGTCGAAGTGTAAATAAGTGTAGCTGATGTTACCCAGCACAGCAACAGTGGCAGCCAGGGCAAAAGTATGCAAACATAACCAAAACATATCAGTACAAACCTACCCTACAGAGAAACAAACGATAACATCTGAATGCATGGTGGGAAGACAGCACACTTGCACATGGAAGTTGCTAAACAGCTGCTATTGATTTGCCAGTTGTGCTGGTAGTAAACTATTAACCAAGTCTCAAGAAATCAAGACCGATAATCACAGAGCAAAAACTCCAGTGCTCTGTGGTTCTCTTCCTTTCAACAACAAAAAACTGAGAGCAGAGATGACTCACTGGGAATTAACTGACTGTAAACAAAGCTACGAGGTTTTTTTGTTTATTTTGGAGGGGGTACTGCTAGTCTGTTGTTTCACTTGGGCATATTAGGACTAATTTATATGTTCCTTGGAGACAAAGGGCACTATGATGGAACAGAAAGCTGCCTAGGGAGAGGAGGTTATAGTCTTTTAACGATCCTAATAATCGTTAATAATGAAACGCAATAAAAAGGAAAGACAATGTGATAAAAAATTATAGACGTTTTCTGAACCCCAACAGGTATTTTAGTCCAATACGTGTACAAGCAAAGCTGTATATTGACAGACTAACTGTACCGCCCTCTGGACTCAAAACACTGGGCGTAGATTCGGCTGGGTTTGCCCAACTCCCTCCCAACACACCTAAAAGCAATACTGTCGCCTCTATATGATGGGAAATGCAACTTAAATGGAGGAAGAGTTGAGGCCAGATGTAATGCCGAGCTGCAGAACTTTCACATACTATATTAAAAAAAAAAAAAAGAAAAAGAAAAAAAAAAAAGAGAAAAGACCCAGCTAGCGCGAACACCAGTCAAGAGGGTTTACTTCCCGGTGTCTGTCTTGACAGGCGACTTGTGGCTCTCTGGCTAGCTCACAACGCAACCGACGCTAACTGTAATATCTGTGACTAAACAGCAGCCCGTGTCATAAAACCTGCATTATAAAGCCGTCGCTAGCAATTGCAGCTCCATCCCAAAAACGTCATGTTAGCCAAAACAAGTTGGGACTAACTAAGGGGACAACAAGTGTGCTACCTTCCTGGCGTTGCGACAACTTAGCCTCGATAGCAGGCTAAATTAGCAGCTAGGCTAACAGCTCCCATTGCCACCATTTTTTCACTTGGCAGGATGCACAAACGTCAAGACAGTCAGACATACCTTTAACCTTTCCAAACGTCCCAACTCCGAGCGTGTCTCCGAGAATGTAATGTCCAATTTTAACTCTTCCTTCATGTTTCGGTTTTTCCGTCGCCATCTTCCCGCAGTGGCCTTGCAGCGAGGTTAGCAAGCTGCGGGCAGAGATGGACCGAACTCCGCTGTGTACGTCTCTACTCCAGCGGCTCAGCTCCGTTCAGAGGGTGGGAGGCGCCCCGGCTCCCGTGCGATTCGTCAAAAGCGTAGGCGACGTAGTATGTTGCCTTCAAGTGCTCTCAGTAAACTCCCAAATCAGGCTGTGATATCCTATCTTATCCAGCAGTTATGCATTTCCAACTAAGAATGAGTTTCATGAGAACCTGGGTCTATGCTCACACATTGTGGCTCAGTTGAAAATATATGCCACGCCCAAACACACAATCTTGTTTGCAAAGCTTCCTGCAATAAATTCATCCTAGGTTGTTCTCAGAATGGTCTCAAACACTGTACAGGATATCTGTAGTCCCCTGATGATCCCAGAATAATTCTCATAAGAAAATAAAATATATTGTTGAACCCAGTATGACATTTATATGCCACTGAGATTACATGAATCGGACACAACACTTATGAGGGTAAACCATTTTCTAAAAAAAATTTCAGTAACAGTATACAGCATTCAAATTGTTAATTATTATCCTGTATATGCATCTGCTTTATTTCAAATAAATATGACGTCTATTTTTTAATCATGTTGAACTTAACGGTAACTTTACTAAAGCATCACTGAAAAAAGTTCCCAGATCACTGTAAAAACCGTAAAATCACCACTTGCCCAAACCTGATCTTACATGTACTGTGAATGTGCATTTGTTCTCAAAATGAGCTTGCATGTGTTTTCCACAACTAAAAAGCAGAGCAAACCAGACCAAACCAGACAGAGAAGACCTTGTTGGGGTAAATCAGATTGATAGTGAAAGTGCTGTCAATATGTGTCTGAATGAGGCCCAAAGGAGAAGCACATTGTTTATTTGCATAGCTGAATACACAGTTATCGGATACACAGCCAGCCAAATGATGACACTTCAGTAGGCGACCTTTATCCTAGACACATTACTCATTTCCTAGATTTTGTGTAATGCATTACATTATACGCTCAATTAGCTGTGTAACATTAGTGTCAGATATCCAGCCAAAGCAAGAGACATTGTTCTGTCTCCTGTCTCGCTAATCTAATTTCTTGCTTTTAACGTCATCAATCCTGAGATTTGCTTTGACGTTAGCTCACAAAACTAAATGAATGAGTTAGATGAGTTTCAGTAACTTACTAATCATTCAAAATCACAAAGAATAAATCTTTACATAGATAGGTAATGTCAACAGAGTCAAACATAGTATGCAGGTGGATTGAGAGCAGAATTGTAGCTCTGTATCAAGAATGAAGCTGATGAACTCTGTTGAAACATGACTGCTGAACCATAAAATATCAAACGCAGGTTTAGGCTCTTATATATCAGTTGTTGGGAAACCATTCACGGGAAGGGAAAGCAAAGGAGAGAGAACATTTGTTAGGAATGTAGAGCTGTAAGGACACTCATCTACCTCCAGAGACAGATTTTGTACCACTTTAGTTTTCATGGGAACAGGATTTTAAGAAAATTCTGGTTGTTAAAGTTACAACATGGAAAGAAAGACTGAATGCTATAAACTATTTATGATAGAACATGTAGCTGATTGTATACAGTAGATTACTATGGTGGCATTTAATTTGTAATCTGCAGGAAATTTTTATAAATGCAGCTATTTGTCAGTCTTCCATCTAATTTCTCAAATGAATATCTCGCCTCTGACATGTAAGATGGATGTGAACAGCCCACAGTCCTGCTCCTTGTGTTAGTTTGCAGATGTTGCTCTACATGTGAGCTGTGAACCTCGCTGTACCTTCCTCTGTAGTCTAAGTGATCATTCTTGACTCTGAACAGAGCCACTCTTACTGTATCTCATGATGTAAGAGCCTTGGAATCCTCATAGACACTTTGTGAATAACAATGAAGTGGTCAGGACGTGAGGAGCTGCTCCGTGACACTAATGGATGACCAAACCTGTGAATACATTGTGATGAATGGTACTTAGCACCTTCAAACAACCCTAAATCATACCCCAAAGCACAACCTAATGTACCTCAAAGGATATCTTTAACAACTTTTTGCAAATCCAAAGGATAACTCAATGTACAGGCTGAACAAATACACGTCTCACTCAGTCAGTGAGCGATTATTAAAAGAAAGAATGGCCTGGTCAACAGTTACCATGACTCCCTTTAGACGTCCTGCAGGAATTAACAGTTAGCCCCAAAACTCCTTGTCAGTGACACTTGGTGTAAGTTTGTGTGTGTCTGGTTGCTTGTGTGTGTGCTGCTGCTCTCTGCTCCCTGCATGCAGGTTGAGGTTAAAAGGATAGTGATTAAATTAAAAGTTTTATACATAGTCTCCTCATTTCAGAGCACAGTAAATATAAGCAAGTAATGTTTAATTCTGGTTCTATTCTTATTTATCATATGGAAATTTGAGGGGTGATGGCTGTAAATGTCTTTGTCTTCTTGTTAGCTGCACACATTTTAACAGCCCAGCTCTTAGATGTCACCAACCAAAGTCATCTCAGTGGTGACATCTTGTGGTTGCTTGTGCATCTTACAGGTGAAATTCATCTGTCAAGTGTGCTTCTGGTTGGCTGTTCTTGTTAGCTGTTCAGTAACTAACAGAATGAGTTGCTTAGGATGAGAATAACTACTCAGTGACAGTGAGTCCGAGATTACTGGGTACAAAGCAACTGCACAGGCACTACTTCATTTCCTGTTACAGTTTTTTTTACATTGACTATAGAAAGTAGGCCAAAGGTTAAATGGGATGGAATAACTAAATCACCAATGGGTTGAATGCAACTCAATAATGTCTTTTATACTACTATCTTCCCTTCCTTCTAAATGCCTGCTTCTCTCAAAATCTTACTTTCAGTTTTTGATGGAGGCTTTCTGTTAAAATATTTTGGTCTCTGAAGTCCAAGATCAAAATGGCGAGATAACCGACATCATCGAGATGACATGATTCAAGAACTGTCCCACCAGAAAATGTAATATGTTTTCTCAGGCTGAGAAGTAGATGAGTATCCTGAGGTTCAGGTGTAACATTAGTGGAATGCCCCTTTAAAAATAAGGCAGATGGTAAATTTGACTGTGACATGCTTTTATATTTTTATACCACTCTAACAGAATAAATATGTCCTACTTCAAAAGGCATATATTATTATTACATTGCACTCACATTTGTAATTGTATTTAATTGCTGAAGGTGATCTTAAAGAAGCCCCTCAGCCCAAGCTAGATTTTAGCACTTTAGCTTTTATATCATCAGCCTGCAGAAGATGGTGTCATATTTTCCACCAAAAATGTGCTTCCTTATTTTTCATTAATCCATTCAAGGTAGCGCTTCACTTCCCATCATCATTTTCTTCTTACCAGTCAAACATCTCACTCATGTCTTGACTTTGACTGTCCAGTAGATGGAAGTGTCTATGCAAGAGCAGAGATAAGGAGGAAGATGCACTGCAGTGTTACATTCATCATTTCCATGTCAGCCTCTGACAGTTAATTATAATAAGTGCAGAATGATACAACTTTTGAATGATGGGTCTTGACCCAGCAATAACCAATGATTAATCAACATGAGTCACAACAAGTCAGTCAGTCAGCGAGGAGAACGAACTGTAAAGGCTGAGCTGAAACACTGACAGAAGAAAAGTGAGATGGAAGACTGTGAGATGAAGTTAGGAACATTACTGAGAGAAGCCTGTGTGTGGCAGCACAACACCAGATAATGTAACGAGACACTCTTTCAAACAGGCTGATACACTACTAGATGAAATACAAAAAAAAGGTGCAAAAGACAGAAAAGACAGTAGATGAAACTGCACCTAACATGGACCCTGTCAGTGTCATCATTAGCTGTATGTTTAATTTTATCTTCCATGAGGATCCAAGCACTGACTGTGCAACTCTGTTCTCTCTCTGTGCCTACATAAGCTCCTGGCAGTTTATTACATGGGACAGTGATTATCATTTTAATTACAAAGGTGCTTATTATAATCCTGCTGGATCTGCATGTTAGCATGCTTGTTAAAGTATTGCTTATTATCCTCTAAACTATTCCACACCGAGGCAACTGCTCTCCCAATGACATTCAACACAAATGGCCTTCACAATTAGAAAAATAAGACACAATCGAGCCCATTTAAGGGACTGTTTGCACTAGCAGCTATTTACTTTTGCACCAGAAAATTTTATTGCTCAAGAGTATGCATTATAGCTGCACATACATTACACAACATGAAAATTTAATGACAAGACAAATATGGGATGAAAACCCTCATCTAGTAGTTACAGCCAAAGATTATCACACTGTTTATCTTTATATGTGAAATAGCTGGAAGGTGAGTGTTAACTGCAAAACTGATCATGCAAAGGTTTTACCCTCACATTTATCAGCACTGAAAGGCAAGTGTGCTGCAATCGGGTCTTTATCAAAAACCTCCCTATCTAGAAAGATAGCCAATCTCACCTTTCAATGTATAAGACAAGAGGCTACAGTAAATACCATTAGTGCATCTAATCTCTCTCTAAATGCAGTACGCCATCCCCTGCTATAAACATTATAATGGAAAATGTGTTTACTACCTGTCATTTTTCATCCAAACACAAGTTTCAGTTTAACAGAGAGCCCCCCCCCCCCCCCGCCATTACTGCAATAAACCATCCAAAACTTAACAGGCCAGTGTAAGAATTTTAATTCCTTTGGTGTCTGCAAACAATGTGCATCTTAACAACACTAAAATTGTTAGAGTGAAAGCAAAATAGTTTAAAACATGTTGTGTGTGTGTTAAACTACTACAAGTAGCAAATTCACAGTAAATAGTGTGAGTTATAGGAAAAAAATTTAAACTGGAGAGACAAACACTGAGGCACAAATTACAGAATTCACAGGACAATGAACCCAGTTTAGCCGTGAGAGAGGTGGCTGGCTAATGAAAAAAAAAAGACGGGGGAGAAATTAATGACACATATATGAATTGCAAGACAAATATAGGATAACCCAAAGAGTTCAATCACCCAATAGACAGGTTAAACGATGCAGTGACATTAA